GGTCCCAGGCTCGATTCTGGTCAAAGGCATGTACCTTGGTTGCAGGCACATACCCAGTAAGGAGTGTGCAGGAGGCAGCTGCTCAACCCCCACCCTCTTATGTGTGGAGGTTCAAGGTCCGTGATGCTTCCCGAAACTCCAGAGCCCACCCTGTCCCCACGGATATGCTACCAGACCAGTAATCTGGTAACTGGGGGACAGGTCACTTGGAACTGCACCCAAAACCACACCGCAGCCAGTCTCACCAAGGCCAGCCCAGGTACCTTCTTTTGGTGCAATGGCACCTTAAGCAACTGCATAAACTCCTCTGACCCTGGGCCTTGCTTCATGGTCACAGTAGTTCCCCAACTAACCTTGTATGGAGAGTTGGAGCTCGCCTGGCTGCTCCCTTCATCCCGCCCCTGGGGCCGCCGGGCCGCCTTCCTCCCTGTCATGTTAGGGGTGAGTATCGCTGCCTCTGTAGGCCTCACCGGGGGCCCTCGGGAACAGTCTGGTCACTGCTCAGGACTTTAATGACAAGCTCCAGTTAGCCCTGGAGTCTACAACCGCCTCTTTAGCCTCCCTACAGCGGCAAGTAACATCAATAGCCCAGGTAGCCCTATAGAACCAGCACGCCTTAGATTTCTTAACAGCAGAAAAAGGAGGGACCTGCATATCCCTTCAGGAAGAATGCTGCTACTACATCAACGAGTCCGGAGTAGTGGAACAAAATGTGCAGACCCTGACTAAGTGAAGAACTACATGCAAGACACTCCCGGAACAACCCTCTTTCCGGCTGTTTCCAAAGCCCCTTAGCTACCTAGGTCCTACCCATGATAGGACCCCTGATTCTCATCTGTGTATTTTTTCTCCTAGCCCCCTGCCTCCTCAAGTTCATCCGCTCCCAGATCGCGGAGATGTCATGGGTGACTGTAAATCAGCTTCTGCTCCGTCCCGACACTCGGCTACCCTCCGACCTGCCTCTGCCTGACCCCAGCCTTTAACCTGCCCCCCACCTTCGTCCCTGGTCAGCTGGAAGTAGTCAGAATGAACCTGCGCCCCCTATCATCAAAAGGCCGGGATGTTAGGTCGAAAGGGGGTCCAGGAGCTGATGCATGCCTCCACCAGGCAGATGGTGACGCAGATACTGGGCCCTTCCTAGAATTCATAACAGGCCGGTGCACCAGGCAAATGGTGACGCAGATACCGGTCCCACCCTGGAATTCCTAACAGGTCAGCTACCAGACAGATGATGACACCTGGAAACTGTGACGACCCCTGCAGCAGGAACTCCCACAGCTCATGCTCCCCCGCCCTCACTGAACAGCTGTATAAAAAAAGCACCCCCCTCCCTGTTGGTGCGGGTCCACGTGCCCTGTCTTTGGGGACAGTGGGTCGCCTGGGGACGCAGAATAAAGCCTTTCCTTTCTTTCTTTTCTGATTAACTCGACTCTCTTTATTTCCTACGCCGCCTCCTGAGCCACCTAACCTAACAGATATTTCTCTCTCATCGATGTTTCTAACTCTCTATCCCTCTCCCTTCCTCTCTGTAAAAAAATCAATAAAATGTATATTAAAATATATATATAATTTTAAAAAAGAATGTCTTTTAAAAAAAATTAAGAGCACTGTTTGATAAAAGTATACACATGAAAGGAGAAAGAATGCTTCTCAAAGTCAGGCGGAAGTTCCTATTTCCTATGACAGGTCTCCCTAATGGAGGTTTGAGTTTGCTTGTCACAAAAGCATTTTCCAGGACATTCTTTAAACAAAATATTTCTAAAAGGGGCTTCTGTACCTTCAGAATTAGAAGATGAGCAACTAAGCATAAACTTGCTTTACTTCCTCCTATATGCAAATATCAGTGAAAAACTCCCCAAGAACTTCCTTTGGAATGGTTACATCAGCCTGACTTTTGTTCCAAGGATTGGTGCTATCGAAAACAAAATGTAATAAAACTCAATTAGAGGCCCTGGCCGGGTAGCTAAGTTGGTTAGAGCGTTGTCCTGATATGCCAAGGTTGTGGGTTTGATCTCTGGTCCAGAGCACATACAAGAAGCAACCAATGAATGCATAAATAGGTGGAACAATAAGTCATTGTTTCTCTCTCTCTCTCTCTCTCCCTCTTTAATCAAATTAAAAAATAAAGCACTATTAGAATATTGCACGATAAAAGAGTAAACTAGATAAGCAAAAATACAATATTAAAGGGTTGCCTTATGATTGTTAATGCTTGTATTTCCTAAAATTTGGATTATGACCCAAAATAGTTTATGAGACACCTAAATATTTTTTCAAAAAAATTTTTTAAATCTCTCCATTTTTTTTAATTTATTTTTATTGATTTCAGAGAAGAAGGGAGAGGGAAAGAGAGATAGAAACATCAGTGAGAGAGAATCATTGATCAGCTGCCTCCTGCACACCCCCCTCAGGGGATTGAGCCCACAACCTGGGCATGTGCCCTTGACTGGAATCGAACCCGGGCTGATACTCAATCCATTGAGCCAAACTGGCTAGAGCTAAATCTCTCCATTTTTAATATTTTATTCTGTAGTTTATTTCTTATGTAGTAATTGTCACAATGCCTTTCTTCTAGAGAGTTTTTATAATGCTTAGATATTAGAAGTTTAAGTAGTAAACATTCAAAGAATTCTAAAGTAAGAAAGAACTTTACACATCATCTACTCCACACTCATATTAGTGATGAAATCTAAGTACTTTTTAAATGGATTTAGTTAAAGCTTTAACATCTATAATTCTAATGTCCATGGAAATAAAACTAGTAATTTGCTTTTTTGCTTTCTACAGTCAAGCAAAGAAAGGTAAGAGGGAAAAAAAAAATCTACAGAAAAATGAGAGCTTTATAAGTTACTGCATATTTAAAAATCTATTCAAAGTTCTGTGATTTATTTATTCATGTGTTTATTATTGAGTACCTCTTAATCATCTCCAATAGAAAACAAATCCAGGCCCCTGTCAATAAATGTATAGCCTATGAGTTCTTAAAGGCTGATAAACAAGCAATTACGGCAGAGAGAGATAAATGAACAAAGATCATAATGCAATCACACATCTAAACCAGATCTGGGCTGTGAAGGCACGCTTCCTGGAGAATGTAACTACTAAACAGGGACCTGACAGGCGGGTTAGACGAGCAAAGATGGATAAGGAAGGAAGGGTAATTTCAGGCATCAGAAACAGCATTTGTCAAACTCCACCTGCTTTACGTTAGCTTCATAAATCGCCAAAGCAGAATACTGAGAGAGCTTCCAGACAAGGAGAGCCATTGAACACACACTTTTACCCCTGCTCCTTTTTGAACCCCACTTAAACAACTGAACAATAAAAAGGAGAGATACAAGGAAAAAAGACCAGGAGCGAAGACAGCACCAAACCTCGAAGTTTAGAAAGCGGGTGGCCAAGTGGTAAGTGACGTAGATGACCAAAGAAAGCTAACAACTTCGCTGGCAGTGGGGGAAGCCTAAAAGCAAGCCGGTCTGTCCTGCAGAGCCACAGAGAAGCCCAGGTTTGAAGGAAACTGGGGCAAAGGTGAGACTGAAACAGGATTAGTTGAAAGTCTGTTTAAGAAGCAGTTAGACACCAGATCCGATTTCCCACATAACACAGCTGGGCAACTCCCTTTCTTTTACCAAAACAGGAGCGTTTAACAAAACCAAGAATAAAAGAGAACTTCTTTAACCCGTTAAAGGGCGATGAGTGGTTGCTGTGATTCTCTGCCAAGCCTCCCCCTTCAGGACGGAGGAGTCTGCAGGCGCAGGCGGAGGGAAGGACGGCAGCTGACCACTCTCAACTGAGTCACTCTCCAGGCATTGCCCTCAGGCCAAAATCTCTTCACTTAGTCCTCCAATGCCTGGTTTGCCTGGGGTACAAAGGCCAGGCCCATTTGCCTCAAGGTAGGACAACTCTGAAAATTCAGCATGACCGTACACCAGCAAGAAAATGTAACTCTTAAAAAAAAAAAAAAAGATACCATTTACATCAATGGCAGAAATTTTAAGTCTCAATGATAAACATTTAAAAAGATATGTTAATAAACACTGACTTTATAATCATTCAAAGTGTGTATACATTTTTGGAGATACCCTGTGTCTAGCCTAGGTGTGTAGTAGGCTAGACCAGTGGTCGGCAAACTCATTAGTCAACAGAGCCAAATATCAACAGTACAACGATTGAAATTTCTTTTGAGAGCCAAATTTTTTAAACTTAAACTATATAGGTAGGCACATTGTTATTAACTTAATTAGGGTACTCCTAATCTGGCCTTTGCTAAAAACGTCCTCAATCTGATTGAGGTACGTTCGCTGAGGTCGACCCTTTTCAACTCTCCCATCCGCACTCGTCTTGTATACTTGTTTCGTCTATCTCCTTTCGTTCATCCTCTCTATATGTCCAAACCATCTCAACATACCTTTCTCAATCCTCGACACTACATCATCTTTCACTCCACAAAGTTCCCTAAACTTAACTTAATAAACTTTAAAGTTTTAAGACAACTTCGCACTGTATGTGCGCGCCCACACTGGTATTTTGTGGAAGAGCCACACTCAAGGGGCCAAAGAGCCGCATGTGGCTCGCGAGCCGCGGTTTGCCGACCACTGGGCTATACCATCTAGTTTTGTGTGAGCACACTCTATGATGTTCACACAATCATGAAATTGAAGTCACCTAGTGACATTTCTCAGAAACATCACCCGGCATTAAGTGACGCATGACTGTAGCGGATGTGCTAGAAACAGACCTTTCTCACCCAATGGGGAACTCCCCTCGTGAGCAGTCTTTTCTCACAGGTGCCTCGTTGGCCTAAGCAAGACATTTTCTTCAAGCTGCCTCCTCCTTCACTCTCTCCTTTCTCAGGTGTCAGACCCACATTATAATATCAAAGCTTTCCCAGCTAATCCCTGCCCCTTCACAGGTGTTTCCCACCAGTAAATTTCGTGCACCTCTAATTCCATCGAGGTATCTGCTTCGCAGAAACTGAACTGATGTAATTGGTGCTGGGAATGCCCCAAGAAAGCAGCCTTAGGGCAGAGATTGGATCACTCTCCAGCTGGCAAGGAGAGCCCCAGCTGAGTGGATTGTTGGCCACAGATTGTCTCTGGCACAAGGTGGTGGCTCAAGTGCTGAATATTGCACAGGTAAGGACCTGGGGACGCATTCGAGTGGAGGAAAACTGAAGCATTCCAGCGGAGAAGGCTGACCAATGCAATAATTCAGGCTTTTAAAAGACACAGGAGTGACAGTGCCTGCAAGGACAGCGACTGGTTATTACTAAGTGAATGGAAGCCCTTCAGAGGGATAATGACAAACTGAGGGCAGTTAACAAACAATGAAAGGCGAAGTGTGAGAGCCAGTCTATACTTGTGGTGGTGTAGCCTACAAAGGGATCCTTACATCCCCGCACTGGAAGAGAACACAGCTGAGGAGCGATCCCGGGGCTTGAGAGTTAGAATGCGGAGCAGCAGAGGCAATTAAATGCCCTCTTAAAGTCAGAGCACTGAAATATGGCATGGAGACATCTACACAGAATTTGGGTTCAACAGATCCCAAGCTCTGTGCCCACTCTCCTGCCATCAGCCCAGCCTGCAGAGGGCAACCACTGAAGTTCTCAGAGATGCTGGCGCCTGCCTCTCCCACCATACAGATCCTTCTTCCAGATCCTCCTGGCCAGCACTTCCCTAGCTGTATTATGCTGGATTTAACCATAGTTATCTTCCTGTCAGCCAGGGGAGAAAGTGGGAATAACTCTGAGGGGTACCTATCTTGTGGCAGAGAAGCCTCAGTAGGGCCCCCTCATATGGGGTAAGTGAGGGGTGGTATCACTAAGAACTTCTGTTGGTTCTCCTCTGTAGACCAAGGCTGAAGTTATGAGACGGTCACAGAGCAGGTCTCATTAATAGTGATGGACATGACGAGCCCCCAGATTAAGAGAGACCTGGTAGCAGCAGCACTTACCGGCCAGAAGCCAGGGAGCTACAGTTACCACAACAACCAGCAAGGTTAAAGAGGCAGCCAAGAGAACTTGATTGGGATGACTAATAGAATTGGGGGTTTCTAAGGGCAAAACAGCCAGTCTCCCTTGAAGGGCACTATGTGACTTCTGTAATCCCGAAGAGGTAAGAAAGGAGGAGCAGGAAGCCGATGACTGTGCTATGCTCAGTCAGGCCAATTTTTAGATCTGGAACCGACTGAATGAAGAGATGACCAGGTCCCAGTAAGAAGGACCCTGCAATACCTTCAACAAATGTGTATTATGAAGATTTTTTCATTTCTTGCCTGAAGGAAACTATGGCCATTTCAGTGAATTTACATGGAGGAAACAGGAATAACCAAATACTTAAGGAATATTGGAAACAGGCTCTTAATGCACAGTGATCTTAAGCTACTAGAGCAGTGGTTCTCAACCTTCCCAATGCCGCGACCCTTTAATACAGTTCCTCATGTTGCAGTGACCCCCAACCATAAAATTATTTTCATTGCTACTTCATAACTGTAATTTTGCTACTGTTATGAATCGTAATGTAAATATCTGATATGCAGGATGTATTTTCATTGTTACAAATTGAACATAATTAAAGCATAGTGATTAATCACAAAAACAACATGTAATTATATATGTGTTTTCCGATGGTCTTAGGCGACCCCTGTGAAAGGGTTGTTCGACCCCCAAAGGGGTCTCGACCCACAGGTTGAGAACCGCTGTACTAGAGGATGTGATCTACCAAAACAAGGGAATAACTGAGACAACAACGATATAAAATCTAAGAAACCAGGTCTCTGTGGTGGCCATTAGAATGTATCTTGCAGCCCTCCAATAACAGGAGTAGAACTGACCAAGGACCCTAGCTGCTGTGCTCTGAAATCCAGCCCAGTCCGCACTTCCCATGCATTGGTCCCAGGGATTGACTGTTACCAAGACAGGTTTATTCCTGGGAGACACAGAATTCTTTTGATGGGCCACTTGAAGACTTGCTTAATTTTCATTAGACTACACAGCGGCCTAATACACTTCCATTCAACCATCCGATCCTCGGGGTCAGACTTGCCTTGTGGTCCCATGGATCCCTCAGCCTCTCCTAGCTCCCTCTCCATTTTTGCTCACAGGCAATATGTGAATGGATTAGGGAATAACACCTTTCCTCATTTAACCCCATCTTGGTATCTGGTTCTTAGAGGACCCAGCACCAACACAGGAAAAGGCTAAAAAAAAAGTTCCCAGTATGATGGTAAAGGAACATTCTAAGCACTAAGTCTAGAAAGCAACCAGCCAAGACATATACAGAAGGGATGGCTACAAGAAGATAAAAATGATAGGAAACCTAGTATGTTTGAATGTCATTGCTTACTCTGCACCCTGGCAGAGTAGGAATTAGCAATAAATCATATTAAAACTAAACTGAAAAATCATAATTTTTAATAATAATTAAAACAAAAAGTTGATCAAAGAAAATATATTTATAGAATACTAGATGACAACAGTAAAAATTATATTTACATAGTCATAATAATGTCATTATTAAATATTAGCACAACAAAAAATATAATAATATAGTGGTAAGTACTTTAGTAGGCTGAAAGGGCAGTGTGGGGAGTAGAGAATGGTATAAGAAATAGTATATAGTATGAGGTTAATATATCACATGTTGAACTGAAATATCAAGAATGACAGTGTAAACATGTTGTTTAGAAATATGGAGGTAAATACTAAAAGAAAAAACTAAAAGAATTAAAAGGTGTTAATCTGGGGAGAAGAAATGAAGATGGACCCTGCTAACTGTTTCATAATAACATGCAGATTTTTAAGTTCTGACTAACTTTGGTAAAGTTGAAATTTAAAATAATTATTTAAAATTCAATGAGGTTGAAACAATTTGACAATCATATGGAAAATATATAAAGAGTTCTTAGAAACCAATAAAAGGCAAACACCATATTGTAAACATAGGTAATTCATTTTTAAAAACTAAAAATGTAAGAATATAAAGACATTTCATTTCAGAATTAAGTGAAAGTTCAAAGAAAAAAGATGAGACTACTAGATAGATGGCCAACAGAATTGAACATATATGTCCATGAAAAAACTTGTACATAATGTTCATATCAGCATTACTTATAATAGCTAAAAAGAGTTTATGTACCCAAATGTTTGTCAACTAATGAATGGAAAATAAAACATGGTATACCACATAATGAAATATTATCCAGCAATAAAAAAGAATGAAGTTCTGATACATGCTACAAAATAGGTGACTCTTGAAAACATTATGCTAAACGAAATAAGCCAGTCAAAAGGCCATATGTCATATGATTCCATTAATATAAAATGTCCAGAATAGGCAAATCCACAGAAGCAGAAAATAGCTTAGTGGTTGCCCGAGGCTGGTGAAAGGAGAAACACAGAGTGACTACTTATGGGAATGGCGTTTTTCTAATGGGGTTATAAAAACAGTCTAAAATTGGTGATGACTGCACAACTCTATTAATGTTTTAAAAATCACTGAATTGTATACTTTATAAGGATAAATATGGTGTGTGAATTATATCTTAATAAAGCTGTGGTAAAAAATAAAACCACAGAAAAGTTAAAAATACCCAAAAAAAAGCAATGATAGAAAAAATGTTAAAAGCAATGAGAAATGTAGAGAAGAAGAAAATAGTAAGATTAAAAGAGGAAGAAAAAGAAGAAAAGCAAAAAAACACAATTCAAGCAAAAGTATTTCATGGTTAAATAAATGAGTAATAAATTATAGATCCTCACTCAACGGGTCATACATTGAAGTTTATGCCTTAGATTTGCACACAGTAAGTATAAGGGTTGTATTCCTTTTTCTTTTTTAATGCTATCAATTTCTGGATGTTGATTTGTTTTTTGTGTGTTTTTTTAATATATTTTTATTGATTTCAGAGTGGAAGGGAGAGGGAGAGAGAGAGACACATCAATGATGAGAGAGAATCATTGATTGGCTGCCTCCTGTATGCCCCCTACTGGGGATCGAGCCCACAACCTGGGCATAGGCCCATGATCAGAATTGAACCCAGGACCCTTCAGTCCACAGACTGATGCTCTATCCACCGAGTCAAACCGGCGGTCATATTCCTTTTACTGTGTCATTGCTGTATACAAAATATTTTATTTACATACCGATTACCACAAAAAAATGTTCAAATAGCTCAATAGCTTTTTTTTTAAGGGCTAGGGATTAGATACAGCCGTGGGCAAACTACGGCCCGCGGGCCGAAATCCGGCCCATTTGAAATGAATAAAACTAAAAAAAAAAAAGACCGTACCCTTTTATGTAATGATGTTTACTTTGAATTTATATTAGTTCACACAAACACTCCATCCATGCTTTTGTTCCGGCCCTCCGGTCCAGTTTAAGAACCCATTGTGGCCCTCGAGTCAAAAAGTTTGCCAACCCCTGGATTAGAATAAAAACATATCACAGAATCTATTTCATCAAAAAAGAAAGTAGGGTTGTTTTCTCCTTGGCTTGAGAAAAAAACAAAGAATAGTGGGATTTTTTTTTTTTAATGAACTATTAAAACCACAGGCTTAAGCAAGCAGATACCACATTTCTAAGATAATCTAGTTGATCTACCTCAATGAAAAATATTCCATTGTATTTATTTAGGTTTCTTTCCAAATGTGTGTATTACCTGAAGAGAGTAAGGTTTTCAAGTGGCTTTTTGCCAAATGGATTGGGAAGGCAAAAAATATCATCAAAGACTCAGAGATGCTATCAGAGCATTACAAGAAAGGACTTGGAAGGTGTGCATGGCTAGGAAGCCAAGAGAACCTTGAATCCAAATGAATCATGAGCCAAAAACATCATTTTAAAATGGGAGAGAATGAAATCAGCCGCTTCCATAAAACCATCTCCTCAATTTCCAGTTTATTTTCATGACAAGTTAGAAAGTATCTGTAATTTAATTGGCAAGGTTAGTTTTTTAATAATTTAAGTCATATTTATTAGTCAGATATAAACAAAGGGTAATCTCCTCAAAGCATCTGCTAGAGTATTTCTCCTATGTGGAGCTTTTATTGACACATTTTCTCAGGCAAATCAATTCTTAAATAGTGCACGTAACCTCATCTTTCAGCTTGGGCACCTAAATAAACATCAAATAAACACAAATA